CGCATGAACAGACGCACGCACGGACGGGCGGATGGACGCACGAGTGGCCACGCACAAGCACGCATAGACGGACGGAAGCAAGGACGAATGGACGGATGGATGCTTCGCCCGCTCTCCATCATTCACCTCCTTGGATATGTTGCCATTTCTTCCTTTCTTTTTTTCTTTAACATCGTTGAATGCTCTCGGCTAATGCAAGCGTTTAGTTTTATACAGAGTAGCGCAGCCCCGTAATCAGGCAGAATCGTCATGGCATCTTTCATGTTATTTACAGCTTTGGTCAGCCTTTCGATAGGCCAAAGATGAGCCCTAAAAAACGCCATGCGATCTGGTAAACGCACGCTATTAATTCAGTTCTGCCGCAGTCAGAATTCTCCTGAAATGTGTGGTTCCTGATTGCGATCTCACATTCTCAAGGTCAGTTGGACAAATAGAAAAAGCTTTATTTATACGTCCTGTGCAGGGTGTTGCCAATTGCCAGGCTAATCCCACGTCGTACCGGCAAGTCACGCCTCCTAGCCCTGTCATGGGCGTACTGGAAAGCCAGGACTTGAAGCATATGGTCGGGAAACTTTATTATTCCTGTAAACCTATCCAGCTAAATGTCAGTGCCAAGCGACCCACACTTCCAGAGCGCATGTTAAAGCGTGCATACTTCTTTCTTGCATGCTTCGCAAAGAGCATCGATATCTTTTATTTCGTACCATTATTCTGCCTCTGCCGATGAGCAATAACGCTTTGTCTGTTTTGTCTGAGTGTGACCACATGTGCTCTGTTTAGTCTACTGTTAAGAAGTGCAAACTCTTGGTTTAAACAAGTCACTTCACCGGTGAGCCACCTTGGACGGGCGGTGACCATCAATATTGTTACGTAAAAATGACACGAGGTGTGTCTATTTAAAATCTATATTCAAAATGATGCGTATGGCGTCGACTAAGATGGAAGCAGCACGCACAAGCGACAGACCACTTCCTCGTTGTCGTCTTCTGACCGCTGATACGTCAGCTACGTAGCATTACCACCCCCCCCCCCGGCGGTAAAAGCGCCGTCTCGGTGCACATTAACTACGGTCTTCAGTAGGCAGGTGGTAAGGTTTTAGCCAGCTGACGTGCACAACATCACTGGGTGTGGTTGCAGGCAGGTTTGTGGTCTCAGATGCAGGAATGATCTCATAGGTGACGTCGGTTACCTGGCGGATGATACGGCAAGGACCCATGTAGCGAGACAATAACTTCTCTGATAAGCCAACTCGACGAACTGGGCAACACAGGACAACAAGAGAACCGGGTGAGAAGTGAACGTCAGCATGCCGGCTGTCGTAGATGGTTTTCTGGGTGGCTTGCGAAGCCGAAAGTCTAGAGCAGGCAATCTGACGTGCGTGGCCGGCACGAGCAATAGCGTGCATATTCGGTTGACGGCGTTGTAGTGGTTGGAAGTAAGGTGTCGAGTGGTAACGTCGGATCACGGCCATAAAGCAAATAAAGGGTGAATAACCAGTGGTGTCGTAGCGCGAAGAATTGTACGCGAAGGTCACGTGAGGTAGCGCCAGGTCCCAGTCAGGGTGGTCGGAGGACGCATACATCGCGAGCATGTCCGTTAGGGTCCGATTTAGCCGTTCGGTAAGGCCATTTGTTTGGAGATGGTAGGAAGTGGTCAGCTTGTGGTGCGTCGAGGAAGAGCGCAGAAGAACGTCGATCACACGGGACATGCGCGGCCACGATCTGTGAGTAATTGGCGAGGAGCGCCATGGTGTAGGATGACGTCGTGGAGCAAAAAGTCCGCGACGTCAGTAGCGGTGCTGGTGGGGAGCGCTCGAGTGATGGCATACCTAGTCGCGTAGTCTATACCAGCAGCGACCCCCTTGTTGCCCAATTTCGACTCGGGAAAAGGACCGAGAAGATCTATACCAACCACGTCAGACTTTCTCTACCTCGGCGTTCATGCATCCGACGACCCCTCGACGTTCAGTAGCCACACCCTTCAATTTCTATTCATCGTCATCTTACGAGCCTTCTACTGACGCCCCTTTGCCCGGTCGCCGCTACCCTGACGCCCCTTCGTCCGGTCGCCGCAGCTCTCGCTCCCCGTCGCCGCTACGTCGCCGCTACATCGCCAATCCCGCTCTCCGCCACCTCGGCGCTTTTCCTCGCCGAGCTTCTCTGGACGACCGCAGCAGGAAAACTAGTATTGCAGCTTATAGAGGAGAAGCTGCAATACCAATGACGGCCGAAAATCCTCTACTGACGCTTCCCACGCACCATAGCCTGCTTGAAGTAGAAGTCGACCATGTTCCTGTGACCGCCCTCATTGAAACAGGTGCGCACCTGTCTATTAAGAGCTCTTCTTTACGCTGCTGCTTACAAAACATTATGACGCCATCTACGACGCAGGCAATATGTGTTGCCGATGGCGGTACTGTACCAGTAATCGGAATGTACACTGATGATGTCAGCATTGCCGGTCGTCACGCCGTGGCCCTTTTTGCCGTGCTAGCCTGCTGCCCTCATGACCTCATACTTGGCCTTGATTTCCTTTCGGCACACTCGGCCTTAATTGATTGTTCGTCTGGTACCCTCAGCCTTTATCTACCAATCTTTGCCGACTAATCTGCAAAGCCCACCAGCCGCTTGAGCCCAACCACTTTCGTTCGCCTGCCACCTCGAGCCGTCCCGTACGTGTCCTTGTCATCAACCCCTCCCCTTCCTGACGGTGATTATATCGTTACGCCAATTACTGACGTTCGGCTGACGCGCAGTGTTCCTGTGCCCTATACGATCGCGACCATAGGGGATAACTGTGTGTTACTTCCGCTCCTTCACTTCGGTTTCACCCCTCAAGTGTTGCCCTGCCAGATGTCTCTAGCCCAGCTAACTGCCATAACAGAGGACGATGTCAGTGTTGTCGCTGTATCTGCTGTTGATCGAAGCGCAGTCTCACGGTCACCCAGCTCAGACAATGGTATGTTTCGAAACATGATTGGATCGGAGCTTTCGCCTCACCAGACCGACGCTCTCTGCCAGGCTTTGACCTCATACAGTGACATTTTCGACACCGACGATCGCCCCTTGGGCCAGACTCAAATTGTCACTCACCGAATCAACGCTGGCGACTCTGCGCCCATTCACCGTCTGCCGTACCGCGTGTCACCGGCCGAGCGAGAAGTGATTCAGAAATAAGTGGCCAAAATGCTTACGAAAAACGTAATCTAACCATCAACGAGCCCTTGGGCATCTCCCGTGGTATTAGTAAAAAAAAAGACGGCTCATGGCGTTTCTAAAAAAATTACCAAAAAAGACGTGTACCCTCTACCACGCATTGACGATGCCTTTGATTGCCTCCATGGCGCCACCTTCTTTTCATCTCTCGACCTCCTATCTGGCTACTGGCAAATTGCTGTAGATGACATGGACCGAGAAAAGACCGCCTTCGTTACCCCTGGCGGTCTTTACCAATTCAAGGTCATGCCATTCGGGCTCTGCAACGCTCCAGCGACCTTCGAGAGAATGATGGACACGCTCCTACAAGGATTTAAATGGTCGACATGTTTGTGTTACCTGGATGACGTGATCATTTTCTCCCCTACCTTTGCAACCCACCTTGAACGCCTTTCGACCATTCTATCCATATTTCGACGGGCCGGCCTGCAGCTCAATTCCTCCAAGTGCCACTTCGGTCTTCGTCAGATTACCGTATTGGGTCACCTTGTTGACGCTGCCGGCGTACGGCTAGACCCGGCGAAAGTACGCGCTGTAACAAACTTCCCAGTCCCACGCTCTGTCTATGATGTTCGCAGTTTTGTGGGCCTCTGCTCCTACTTTCGCCGGTTCGTGAAAAACTTTGCGGCACTCGCACGGCCACTCACCGACCTTCTCAAACAAGACGTTCCATTTTCTTGGGGCCCTCCTCAAGCTGACGCCTTCTCTCAGCTAATCACCGCTCTAACGACACCTCCTATTCTTGCACATTTTGACCCCGATGCTCCCACAGAAGTGCGAACAGACGCGAGTGGTCACGGAATTGGTGCAGTTTAGGCGCAAATTCAGCGGGGCAACGACCATGTAATCGCGTACGCAAGCCGTCTGCTTTCTAAGTCTGAACGCAATTATTCTATAACAGAACGGGAATGTCTCGCTCTTGTTTGGGCGGTTTCGAAATTCCGTCCTTACTTGTATGGCCGCCCTTTCCGTGTCATCACAAATCATCACGCGCTGTGTTGGCATTCTTCTCTAAAGGACCCCACTGGACGACTTGGTCGTTGGGCATTACGCCTACAGGAGTATTCCTACTCGGTTGCTTATAAGTCTGGACGTCTCCATCTGGACGCCGATTGCTTATCCCGCTACCCAGGGATAAGGGGAAATGTTAGGGGAAAAATAGGGCAAAAGCAATATTAGGAGAAAAAGCTGTCCACATACATTTTTCGTCTGCTATGGCACTTAACCGGCAGAGTACAGGCGCCGGCCGTACATCGTCAATAGACTTATTATTGTGACTAGGCAATTAGGAATGACAGTGAGGCACGGACTCAGGACATGGGCAGAAGTAAACCAATATGAAGCTCGAAGACCACAACGAGTTATGTTCGTGAAGGGTATAAATTTTCTGTTTGAGTGTTTTTCGTGCTAAATTCGGTGGCAGTGGTTTGATACGAGGCATGCGAGAGCTAGAAAGTAGGGTAGCAGCATTCATCAGTAAGGAAGAGTGAAAACATCAGGTCCCCAAAATGCGTGGGAATATCCTTGGCCACCGAAAAGAGACGCAAGTAAGTAGAACAAAGAAGCCACAGGAAGAACAAAAAGTTCCAAAAAACTGCGGAAAGTCATGGGTAGTTACAGGCAGCTGCGGATTTTCTTTGGTGGCCTAGCCCAAGGGCTCCGTCTTCGTAAAGTGGGGGAAAACGGAGTGTGTTGGCATTGAGAGATGCATCAAGTGTCCAAAGGTCCGGACTCGGAGAAGACAGCCGAGCCAACTGCCCCTTTCAGCTTGTCTCCCAGTTTGTGCTACACCCAACGGCCTGTGAAAGCCAATGCCACTGTGAGTCTTATTAGCCTGTATGCCTTTTAGGCTGATCTAGTTGCAGGGCTACAGATACGTGATTGCACTGTAAAGCTGAAAGCTATTTACAGCATGAAATATTCTATGTAAACATAATGTAGACAAAGATTGATGCAGATGAGACAACAGTATGTACTTGCCAAGACTTGCGTTATCCCTTGCGATCATATTTTCTGGCTCTTCAGCTGCACCACAAAATAAATAGCACCGAAAGAGTATTCGATCAATTGTGTTAACACATTAAAACATTTGGCATGACGATGAACATGAATGTAAGTTTGTTGGCAATAGGGCCCGTCACGGCCGCAAACCAGCTTGAGAGGGTACAGTATGTATGTTATGGTGCGATGAATAGTAATGGTAGGGGGACGTGGCTGTAAATGGGCCAACAATCTTAGCAGTAAACGTGCGTAAGGTATATGTAACTATTACGATTACGACAATTCAGTCAATAAAGACAGTTGAATATTTAGAGGCTTAAACCTCGTCCGCGTAAGACTGCGAAACATTCACACAAATAAGACAGAGGCTATGAATGTGGCAAGCAGTGAAAATTGTGGTTTCAAGGTAAATTCATAGATAATCATAACATAAAAATGGCATCCCATTTGCCAGGAACGAACGGCTAATTAGGGTCCTTTAGCCCAAAGGCAAAGGGACAAACATATTTTTTGTGTGCGTGATTACCCCGGAAAGAACCTTTCATACGAGCTCACGTACTGTTTGTGTTGTATACATATCATGAGGACTACTTCTTCTAGAGAATGGCAACCCTCATTTATAAATAGAGAACGCTCCCGTTTTAATTAGCATACGAGGACGCCATGTAATATGTCCCTGTGATGGTACTAAAATGATTTTACGTGGTAGCTTCAAGACGAGGATCTCGCAGCAGGATGTGGAGCACTGTGCACCAGCCGTTGCATCAGTGTCAGATCAAGTCTGCAAACTGGGCGCTGATATCTTTGAAAGCGTTTAAACACCACGATTCAATTTGACAAGTATTTTATTTATTGCGTACTTTTATAATTATAAGTGCGGCCAGTAATTCTTTACGTTTGTTTTTTCTCTTATGAATAAGTTGCAATCAATAACGCAACTTTGTGGCACAGCTACTACTACGCAGAATTTCTGAATTTGGTACTGGTTTGAGCCCATGTTGTTGACTCTTGGTCTTCACTGCAATGTTTCCCTCACAACAGACGGCGAGCGTTCGCTAACAACCAAGGCTATATACCGATGCTGATCTCTGAACATGGTATTTTAATAGCTACGATAGAATATCTAAAGCAGGCATGCACCTATGTTCTGAACAGCGCGGAGTAAAGATATGGACGCCAATACGTGGCAAACAATTCGACCTAACTTATATACTATGGTTACTTTAGGTTCTATATTCTGAAATTACAGCTTGCAGAGAAAAAAAAAGGTTTTTAATTGAGTACTTGAATTCTGAGAATCAGCGCTGGAACGCGTCAAAACGTTTTGACGCATTGTTTCTATTTTTTTATGACAAGTTATTTACTGCATAGTGACATTGGTTGCTTACTTGAATGCCCACGAACGTTTGATCTTTCTTCCACAGAAAATACCTTATGGGGAATGAGACCTCCATCAGAACGTTCAGCAAAGACAGCTGGTGCAATCCTGAGCCTGTCATTCAGAATTCCTCTCTGAAACGCAACGATGATGAAATAATCACATCATCAGACGCTATCAGTATCGTATACAAATTCAATAGAAATATTAGTATACGATATACAAGTATGCTGCTGGCCTGTCCTCCTTGCATGCTTTATTGTAAATAAGGAGTGCTTGACTAGACGTTCATTATATAAGCATGAGCTCATTGTTTATATATACGATGAGTGCAAGCGGCTGTTGCAAGCTTTCCAAATATTGATGCATTATTTATATACTTGAAGCTAGGTAATGCAAAGACGAAAGGCAGAAAAATGCAAAATTTAAAAAGTAGATTTGAAAACATATCTATGCCAACGTGAACAAACGTATCATCATCATCAGCCTAAGGCCACTGCAGGAGAAAGGCTTCTCCCATGTTCCGCCAGTCAACTAAGGTACAACAAGCGTCATAACTAACGTGAACAGCGTACAGCAAACGTCAAAGATTGTTCTAGTTTAGGTAAGAGAAAATAAAGAACCGCTCGTTTGTGGCTCGAAACCAAAAAAAATGCGAACGTATTTCTCAGAAAAAACAGCTTCTTAGTTGCCGAAAAATTTGTCCTGGTCTTGGTATCGAACACTAAATTACGGGACGGTTGCTGTACCAACTGAGCTAACTCTGCAAGAAGCTAGAAAGTGGTCGCGCGAAAGCCAATTCTTCGACAACTCGAAGTGCATGGAGACAAGTAATGCAAATGAGTTTTCCGAAGACCTGCAAGGTAGAGGAAGGGTTAAGAAAGGCAAAAGAGAGAACCACCCGGATTTCCTTGTCGCTTCGTGCCACAAACGGGTGGTTCTGTATGTTCCCTTTCTTAACCCTACCGCCTCCTGGCGAGTTTCCGGAGAACTCATTCGCATTTTTTAACTAGTTTGTACCCTACTGCGCGAGTTCTTATAGACATGAAAAAAAATACAAGTTAAGAACGAAGCGCGGGGACACCACGAGCCGTTGACTAACACCTTAAAGTTTATTTCAAAAAACGCAAATATCAACAGGAAAAACACAGGGAACAACGAGGCTCATACTATTTCGGGGCTCAGACTCACATCAACCATGGTTTCTCGTGAAGTGAAGCCGGGCATCACGAAGTTATGAGGTGAAGGGAAACATTTCTTTCATAATGGGGTTCTTCGCTCAATCACAAGCCCCGTCAGCTGGTAGGTCCATGCATGACACATACTAGCAGTTGTTCCGTGTGCAAATACAACCGATGAGCGAAGTTCTTTAGAAACGAGAGGCAAAAGACTGTGTGCCTGATCTCGTTGCTGGCTTTCATGAAGGCGACAGGGTGTGGAGCGAGTGAAGAGAGCGTCTGTGGCGCTCGGTGGGGGGAAACGACTGAGTGAGTGAGTGAGTGAGTGAGTGAGTGTGTGGCGCGCGCTGCGCAGCGCGAGCCATCTACCGCCGCGCTTGCGCCACGCAATGGGGTTGCACCTGTTCTTTTGCTCGGCGCTCTTGCCTGGCACACTTGCCTGGCACACTTGCCCGGCGCAGAGAGATTCAACAGAGATAGGGACGTAGGCTATCAGCCTAGGAACCTTCAATGCTAAAAAAAAAAAACTCGGAGGACGCTCGAGTTCGCTTCCAGGTGTAGAACGTGAAAGTGTAATTGGGCCCCGTGCGCAATACCTTCTCCAGCACTACCTACATAACATCCTCGCTTCTGAGTCCATGCCTCAGTCGTGTTGTAAGAAAAAGAATGACTGTGTTCGTAACATCGGCTGCTTCCAACTATTCTAGAATGCATACTGTAACCACAGTTAAGGGCCTACTATGACCTATTTTTTTTATTTTCTAAGTAAGCTGTGGACCCACTAAGTGTTCATAACGCAATACGCGAACCTACACAGTTATATTACATGCAAGGAGGGAGACTCCTTACAATGCATGACTTTCGTTGTGATTTTTTTAGATGCGAAGCAACTCATTGAGCATCCTGTGCCAGGCTGTCCATTCGTGTGTCCGTGCCAACGCACCACATCACGTTCCTCCGCCGCAGTTGTTGGAACGATGCCAAGTTGTTCAAGTCGAAAATGCGCGTTGACGTCACTCTCTCCCCTGCAGCAGCTGCCGGCTCCTCCCAACACACCTAGGTGGTGTTGCTCCTCCACCCACTAACAACACACTTCTCACTCGCTTGACCTTCTCCCCACCCGCAACGCTCGACCGCACGTCGAGTGGAAACACTCTTTCGGCTTGTTTATCTGCGACTGAACTTGCATGAAACCAACCCGCCTACCATGCCTCTGCGTTTCAAAGAAACGTTCCCTCGAGTAAAGGCCACACCAAGTTTCGCTTGAAACCGTTCTTCCGGCCTCGCGTCGACGCCCGTTTCAGCCGGATCAGCGTCGTGCGCAGCGGTGCTGCTTCGCATCTCATCATGGCTCCTTTCGGGGCACTGGTTCATAATTTTTCGAAGTACTTGCAAGCAGTCCTCTTTTCAGAAGGTGGAATTTAGCATAATGTGAAGTGTTCGTTAAGCTTATCTTGATGAAAGCAGGAGCTAACGAAAAAAAGTAGCATGGATATGAAGGAGAACTCCTACGTCCAACACCGAAAGCTTGGTTTAGATTTGGGCTTGAACCGAAGCTTTTTATTATTTATTTTACTTGCATCTTTCTTGGTTGTTCGGTGACGAAGAAGTACGCTGATGCCAATGCCATAACGAAATGTTTTTCAAAACAAGCAAAACTAGTCAAAGTGCATAAATGTGCACTTTCACGAGCAACTTTGCAATCTGAACATTGGGCATGTCTGGCAATTCAGCTCAAATTACAAAGACTGGTGCATCTCTGCATAGAACTGGTATGGGAGTGTTTACAGAAGCGGTAATTAGCTGACGGGAAATATTGCTGAGGGTGCCAAGATGGCTCGTTCAGGTGATGCCTATAAGGATTCCATCCTGTCTTCTATACAACTTCATCACATATGCTCTCTTCAGCTATATATATTGTTCGATATAATGGGTCTCTTTTGCATCGCAACGCCTTTTTTTTGCGCAGTAAAACTGATAGCCCTGTGTACCTTTACTTTTATCTGCACTTTACAAAATAAATTTTAGCTGGAAGTCTGGACCTGTCTGCATCCCTTCGCTCCATTTATCGCTTATATTTCTAGTGTTCGGACATCGCCCGTCAAATGAATTGCCCTAACATAAAGTATAAAATACCTTTATTGTAGGTGTATTCCATTATATGCATCGAAAGTGTGTTTTGCGTGTTTGCAATAGAGAAACATTGGGAATTCACAATATGTATAAAGGTCCTCATATAGTTATTCCAAAAACCACTTACACGGCTGTTGCTATAAAGTGCCGACGAGCACTCGTACAAAAAGCTAGCTTATGCATGTCACCAGACAGCACGGAACTTTCCGTAAGTTAGTTGTCTACTTAGTTACGAACACTTTCAGTTCCCCAAGAGATGATCACTAAAAGGCGATGCTCAAATTTTGTACTAAAATGTAAATCACACTTATGGGATCAAGGAATCAAACAAACAAAAGGCAGAGAGAAAATACAAGAAAGCAACGGAGACGAACCACACCTCCAAATCGCGAACCCTGCGCGTCCAGATGGGAATGGAATGATTAAACAGAGTGACATACAGTATGAGTTGCCGTGACCTCATGAGTGTATTGAGGTATTGAATCTCGTAACAAATTTTCGCCACATGCTGGTTAGCCTCCTCTTACCACCTCCACGCCGTTTCCATCTCTCGTGACAAGAAGCGAAGAGCAGTGCTCTGTGTCGTGGTACAAGTCTCGCTCGAGTTCCGATCCATTTACCTAGATAGGACATTAAAAGAAAAAAGAAGAACAGTAAAACTATAAATGAGTTCTGCTAAAGCTCGTAAGGCTTTTAAAGAAGGCTAGCGAAAAATAAATCTCTGCCCGCGCTGTAGCACCAAGCTACCGAATAAATACTTTGGTGTAGTCCGGGATTGAAACCCGAAACTAACGCCCACACGTGGTAGTCCCTTCACCATAAGACGTGGTTTATTTTGTTTTTTTACATTATATATTACCATGCGCATTAGAATAAAAAAGAAAACTTGAGGCAGTGCCGTAATAGTGGTGCGAAGACTGTAAAAAAAGGGACCTGGTGCGTTACCCTCCTGCTTTTCCTGCTCTTCCCTTTACTTTCCTCTCTAACACCTTGCAATACCGTACAAGGCTATGTCCCGCCTTATTTTCGGTCATCATAATTTCCTTCCTCCTCACTGTCACTTTTCTTTCTCACCCCTCACTATGCCATACTATGCATGGTTACTTCATGCCTAACTTCTCTCCTTCCCTTTTGCTCCTCTTCCCCATTAAAACATTCCTCCTCGTCCTCACTTCCCTCTCACGACTCCTTGCGGCGTTACACTGCACTTGCTGCGCTATGCTTCCTTTCTCTTTCTTACTGTTTCTTTGAATCTCTTGCTTTCACTCTATTTCTTTTTCTTCTTTTTCTATCTTTCTTTGTGTTTCTTTTCTTTGTGTTTTGCTTTCTTTATTTGTACCTCGTTCTACTTCTTTCGCCCATAGCAACGCAGTTGAAGGATAAACCATAGAATAGATATGTACAATACAGTATAGGCGGGATGAAAGAGAGAAGGAAGAATGAGGAAGGAGGTTTTCTTTTTCGTATTGATGATGAATATTAGTGGAACTGTGGTGCAAGGGCCATGGGTGGCAAAAGAGCGCCATGTCTTTGATGTGATGTAAGCAATGACCAATGATTGCAATGGGATGGTGTAATACGGCTGTATAAAGACCTAAAATCACGTGCTGTATAAAAGCGTAAAATGTGTGTATAAAGTATGAAATGATGACAGTGATACGTGATTGGATGCATGGGTGTACAATGAATTGCAAGTGACCATGGTATCTAGAAGTGAGCGATTGCAAAATAGCATGAATGCCTTCTCAACTCCTTTGAAACCAAAGCGTGAGAAGCAGGTGCTTCTCAATGTAGCTACCGCAGCAACAACCTCTGCGGAGAGGTTATGCTACGGATTTCTCTTGTATATGATGCTGAATCTTTGACTTTTATTTGAAATGCAAATAATGATTAATATTCAAAAAAGTCGTTCTTTGCCAATGAGCATCCCAGGATGAAGTGGAATGTGTTCACAGTATGCTAAAAAATGCTTTTTTTCTAATACAGTCGAATTCACTACATTGGAAGAGGATGTGGTTGACGGTGAGTGATTCACTAAATTTATCACACAAAGGTAGATCACCGCCGCACAAAAGGTATGAGTGTGTGCTGTGTGTATGTCCTGTTCGTAGCCCTGCAAGTTTAACTTCTGTGTGGCGTGATTTTGATACCAGTGGCCAATGAGCAATGAACGACTTGATGGCGTGTAATTTATTTCCTGTGTAGCTATCCAATGTGATCTGCCAATAAGATCTGAGCTTTCGTTTAAGATTTGGTTTTAGGTCAGGAGCAGAGATAGCTGTGGGTGTACTACAGCACTGTCGTAGACAGATGCGGCTAGGTGATCCGCCATCACGTTACCTTACATTTCGTGGTGTTCTGTTACCCAGCACACTCTGACATGCTGTTTAGACTTGTTCATTGTGCATAGTCGTGAATAAAGCGAGACAAAGACAGGGTTTTTGTGTTCTTCAAGAGTTTTTAGAGGTTTCACGACGATTAGAGAATTTGTGTAAGTTAGTGCCTTTGTACTTTTGATTGTTTTGATTGGCCGCAAGTATCACGTAGGCTTCTGCAGTGAAGATCGTCGTATCAAGGTGCAGCAAGCCAGGCACCGAAAAACATGGGCCGACTGCTGCGTATGACACTAAAGTGTGAGACTTAGAGGGATCCGTGAAGAAGTCAGGACAATTGTATTTGTGTTGAACCTATAGGAACTACATGCAAATATGTGACACAGGTTCGTGTTTCGTAACTTCTTTGAAGGATATGTCCCATTCTATGAGCTGCCATTGGCACGGTGGCAGATGCGCGGCAGGAGCCATCAGACACTGATCAAAAAGTGGCACTCCTTTTTCCTCTGAGAGGCTTCTCACTCGAAGTGAGTAGGGCTGCCGAAACAAAGGACGGTTATCATACAGTGTGAAACTGTAACACTGTAACTGTAAAACTGTAACACTGTAACACTGTAACACTGCAACTGTAACACTGTAACTGTCACTGTAACGCAGTATATCCACCACAAGCCCATACTGTGACCTTTCAGCAATCGTTTTTCCTGCGCACAGCCCAAGACTGGAATGACCTGCCCACCGAAGTTGCCACCATCATCGACACCCAAACATTTAAACGGCTCATCCAAACTATCCTATCATAACTGCCATTATATTGTTAGCCTTTGTAATACCCACTCCCTCATGTAATATCCCAACCGGGACCTTTGAGGTAATAAAATGAATGAATGAATGAATGAAACTGGACAAGTCAATTATTACGGAGTGTGAGGGGTGCTTGTTGTCTGCATTTGCTTTGAGGTAATACACAAAAGACATGTAAGTCCTCTGCAGCTGCAACGACCGCTTGTTCGACTCCACGTACAGGCTTTCTACGAGACTAGTGCGAAAAGCACCAGTAGAAAGATGAGTGCCTAAATGATGGACCAGGTCAAGCATTTTCAGAGAGCTTGGTGCGGCAGACTGATAAACAATAGCTCCGTAATCTAAGCGGGTGCGTATGAGGCCTTTATAAAGATTCATACGGCAATTTTCCATCACTGCCCCATAATGCCCATGGCAAAACCTTGAGTATACTTAGAGCTTTTGAAAAACTGTTCTCTAGAATTTTCTGGTGACGAAAAAATGTTAATTTCTAGTCTAAAACTAGGCCTAGAAATTTAAGTTCACTTTTCACAGCCAACGGCTGTCGGTCGAGGTCAATAATCGTATTGGATTGAATACCTCTCTTACTTGTGAATAAAACACACGTGCTCTTTTGCGGGTTAAAAATGACCCCATTCTCATCTGCCCATTTTGTAACCTTAATCAAACCAAGTTGAAGCTGCTGCTCGCACATTGCAAGGTTGCATGATTTGTAAACTATCTGCCTACCGTCAACGTATGCACAATAAAACATATTGCGTGGAATGCAGGAATGAAGGGTATTCATTTTTATATTAAAAAGTGTGCAGCTCAAGACACCACATTGTGGCACTCCAGTCTTCTGGACAAAAGTTCGTGACAAGACATTCCCCACCCGTACAAAAAAATGTGGTTGGACAAATAGCTTTCGAATATGGTCAGCATGTTACCTCGGACACTTAATAGTGAGAGGTCTCGCAGTATGCCGAAGCGACAGGTGGGGTCGTTATATTTTTTCATATTAACAAACAGTGAAAGGAACAATTGATTATGGACAAAAGCATCAAGGATTTGCGCTTCGATTCGTAACAATTGGTCAGTACTGGAGCTACCCTCACAAAATCTGCACTGGTATGCATCCAGTCGATTGCTTGTTTCTAGAAAGTATAGGAGCCGGCAGTTAATCATCTTTTCGAAAGTTTACATAAACAACTTGTCAATGCAATCGACCTGTAACTTGCAACATAATATGGCTATTTTCCTCGCTTTAGAATTAGAATTACAATGGCTTCTTTCCAGACAGAGGGGATCTCGCCGGACATCCACACGGCATTATACAAGTGGAGAAGGGCTTTTTATGTTTCACAGGGCAAGTGCTTTAACATTTCATATACTACACCGTCTGAGCCTGGGGCAGAGTTATGGCAGCAGGTTAGTGATGGCTGTAGTTGAGCTAAAACTAAAGGTTCATGATATGCTTCTTGGTTTGTGGATTTGCGCTCAAGTTTCTGTCTTTCGATTATTGTTTTGTATCGCTGGAACAATGTAGCATAGTGTGACGAGCTGGAGACCTGTTCGAACTGCACCCAAAGAGAGTTCACTTGGTCCTCAAAGCTCTAGCCTTGTGTTTTCACAAGAGGAAGTGGGTGAGATGGCCGTACCACTACCTTGACTACAAGGTTCCAGACCTTCACCTCCGGTGTATATAAATTGATTCCGGATAAAAAGTTGTGCCAACTTTTCCTAATCGCCTGCCTGCGCGTTCTTCTGCCTTGAGACTTTATGTTAATAAAATTGTCAAGGTTCTCGGCTGTCAGGGTGTTCCAGGGCAGTTTCCACGCCTTATTTAGCTTTTTTTCGAGCGTTTCGACAATCACTGTTCTACCAAGGGACGCGTCGTTTGGTGAACGGTCCAGATTGTCGGATACACTTTGCTGCAGCATCGATAAGAAGTGCTGTAAAAATGTATACAACTGCATCTATACTTAATACACATATGTGAGGCCAACTAAAGCGAGTAGCTTCTCTGAACTTTTTTTCAGTCCGATTTGTCTGTCTGTCATCTGGGAACCTCTGGATGACCTTTGTCTATCAATGTGCTTAAAATGATTGCAAACACGTCACTTCCTAAGGATTGTTGGTCACTTTCCATTGAAGTAGGGCTACAAGCGATGGGGACACAATGCTGAGACCGATGCATGAGCAGACTTTGTTGGCGAGGCTAAAGTGTGTTGGTTCTTTCACATTAAACAGACGGGGACCCGATGAAAAGAGAAACTGTTCAATTTGACGACCTCGTGAATCGCAGCGATAGTCGCCTCATAGACCATTCTGTGCATTTAATTTCCCAAAGACGGCATAAGGTTCCGGTAGGTCATCTATAAGGGACTAGAATTCGTGTTTTTCGAGACGGTACTGAGAAGCTTTATAAAGAAAGCGGATGGTGACAAGTTGGTTAAAGAACTGCTCCAACAGCCACTGCCTCAAGCAATATTTGTAGTGGTAGATGTGTACATGCTACGCCCACAGATGATGCCATAACGTCATTGTGATCCTTTCTGAATATTACACAACGGCGTAGAGAAATGGTGTTTCTAGAATTTAAGTGTGTCGCTTGTACACACAGCACATTTGGTGAATTTTTGTGTAAGAGTTCCTGGATATCGTCGAGGTTTTAAGTAGTCCACTGACGTTCCATTGTATTATTTGTGTATCCAATATGAGGGTAAATGAGAGCTGTGTGTACTACAGAAGTATTGCGTCAAGTCAAGAACCCTTGTCAGGCCCCGTCATTATGGTTTTTGATTTTCTGGCGCGTTCCAGAGCCGCGCCTGTCCTTTGGTGCCGGAGACCCCGTTGGACTTGCTGTTGTGTCTACCACCTCGGACGAGGTGCTGGATGCCCGCTCACGGTTCGCGCGTGCGGGCACGGAAGTCTTATGGCTATGTATCAAAACAGAATGCCCAGGTGCTTCAGGTCCAGAGGCCTGCAAGCCTTTTGTTGGCGGAAGACCCTGTGCTACGTCCGCTGAGGGGTTAATGGCGCTGCTGCCCGTCCACTTTGTGTGGTACGAGCGGGCGCAGCGGAATTGGGGGCACTGCCCCCATTTGTGCCACCTCCGCAAACAAAGGACCCTGCAAAGGTAGACGCTGTACAAAGCCACTATAACACAATATTATGTCACCAAGAAAGGGCACATACACAAGGCTAACGCTTGCCGCCTGGAAGATGGAAGTAAACAGAAATGAGAAGAGGATAGGAAAGTATGAAAGTGAGAAAAAGGCGAAAATCTGAGAGAAAACGGAGACAGGAAAAGGCGACTGCCGATTTCCCGTGGGTGGGTCCGCCCAGGCGTGCCATCTACGTGAAGCCAGGGCCAAAGGGGTGTTTTGCGTCTGCTGGGGGCTCCAAAGGTCCAATCACACAGCATCGGCTCAACCCCCAGGATTCCCCTTTCCCCGGAAATGGCTAAGCCACACACGGCGAAGTGTGAGGGGAGGTCGAAATCCCACCGTTGTCTCGGGTCTGTGGTGTTGCTACACACGAAACGCCTGCTTGCGCAGACGCCCCTGCGGAGTTCCTGTACCTAATGAACACGAAACACCTTGCACATCTCAAACACCAGCGCGTGCCTGCCCGTGAATGTCAATGTCGCCGAGGGCCGGCGAACTTCTGCTCCTTCTTTAAGTCCGCCAGTCAGCTTCTAGATAGACTAGGCACTTGAAAACTTACCACCACTTTTTGTGAATGATTCTTCGTGGTGGATGTAATGACAAATTCTTTCGCGAGTATTGAGCTTTTGCGAAGGTTCAGCGTCAGTGCTTCATTGATGTGCAGCAAGACGTCGGCGTCATCACCCCTGCTTTCGAAGAGTCTCGGGTACACGAGGGTTCCTGAAAGGGTAAGGCAAGGCTAATAAGTTTTTGTTGTTGAATGAGAAAACAGCGACATGTTATTTCAATTATAATCTATCTATCTACATTGCACTGGCTACTAATAGCTGCCTGCATACGTTTCTTGACATCATTTCTTCTCAGTTTTTATTAATTTTGTGTCAGACAAAATAAATCAAGCCCTTAAAATTTCGGGTTCATTCTTTCTTTTTTTCTTTACCTGAGCAATAAGCATACCTTCTTGTGGAAACTTTAACACAGTGGCCCTCAAAGACATGTCCTCGGTAGCGTACATGGAAGTAGAACAAGTTTAGGAATGGCATAAAACTTCGCTTCCAGCAAGGCCCGACATTATTGTTGGCGATGTCCTAATTTCTTACGAAGTAGTTACACAAAGAGTTTTAAAGTAGACAGATTAGATTTTGGGCGTTTAACGTTCCAAAAGCACCATATGATTATGAGAGACGCCGTAGATGAGGGCTCCGGAAATTTTGACCACCTGGGGTTCTTTAACGTGCACCCAAATCTGAGCACACGGGCCAACAATTTCCGCCTCCATCGGAAACGCAGCCGCCGCAGCCAGTATTTGAACCCGCGACCTGCGGGTCAGCAGCCGTGTACCTTAGCCACTACACCACCGCGGCGGGGCAAAAGAGTTTTAAAGTATGTGAATGAAACGTTTGTCTTGCTCTACCCACGCGAGGCACACTGAAAAAAAATTGCCCGCAGCTTCCCTCGGGGGAACACTGAGGAGGATGCGGAGCATATAATTGGTTAACGGGGTGTTAAAGTACGACTTACTTGGGTCGATGGCTAAATTGGTTAACGTGGTTGTGAAATGGGGTGTTAAATTGCGACTTACTTGGGTCGATGGCTAAATTGGTTAACGTGGTTGTAGGAGGGGGTGTTAAATGAGTGAACACGTACACACGTATGCGAAAGGGCGGCGCTGGTCGAAGGGACGTCGATCATTGTGTTTGTGGATTCGTTGGAATTCATTTCACCGCGACCTTGGACGTGGACGCGCCGTACTAACCAACCGACGAGCGGCAACTGAGCAAGCGAGCGCCGACCTTGAGTATATATACAGCGTGACGGCGCATGCACTGTCAGCTGTTGAATGTTCTCGAAGCGCGACGCCACATGCGCGTCCACTGGAGAATCAGGAGAATTGTAGATGTCGAACGCGGTGTGTAGAGGAGGAAGGGTGCACAGATGGTGGAGGAGTGAAGCGCGCGCGGTGTGTAGAGGAGGAAGGGATGCACAGATGGTGGAAGAGTGGGCGACGGCGCGACGGCGCATGCGCGCGCGTCAGCTGTCGAATGTTCGAGAAGCGGTGTGGACGGCGCGGACGGCGCGGACGGCGCACTACAAGGCGCGAGTATAAGATGCTTCCGCATCTAAAAGAGAGCTCCGAAGCTTGCGCCATCATCAGGTTCCTTGGCAAAGCCGTGCTTCACTCCTACGAAACGCTCCCTCCGCTAGCTGAACGCCCCCGCCGCCACTGTTGTTATGACGATAGCGCAGGTGAGATTTGCGCAGCTGGAGTAAAAAAAAATCTGAATTTATGACAAACATCTGAGTGCTGCGTCAACAAGCGTCTTTCGTATATTCAACTGTTGCTTCCGTGAATAACTGATGACGTGCCGTTGCTTGAGCTAATCGACGAGGCCATGCATCAGCAGTGCTCAAGTTGCAAGAAACTTCATATACCGAGAATGACGTCACGGCATTCGTTCAGCCTCTCAAAAAGCCCTGTGGCCGCCGCCTTTGTTTCCTTTTTAAAATAGTGTTACATGCGTTCATGACATGACGACTATGTATGGTGTTTTATAGCGCAATGGACATTTGATGGCCAAAGAGTGTCAGTTCTTGGGACAAAAGAAGTGAACAGTGATTACGGTGAACACTGTATAAAGAGTTCCATGCACATAGGCTGCTAAAACATATAAATATTGGAAGCGTAAGAGTGACTGTAAACGAGTGGTGAGGCTATATTCATTCAATTTTCAGAACTCCTACTTCGTGTTACGAAAGTAGCGAGGATCAAAGTGTCTTTAAACGTTACAAGTGATTTTTAGGTCTTTCAGATTCCCTTGAATGCCACAAATCTGTCACATGGTTTCCTATTCCAATGAAAGCAGTGGAACAATACCTTTCCTTGAAAAAGAACATTATTATTATCTCTCCGAAGGGAACCCTGATGGGATGCGAAACCGCAGCGGTGCGCATGGGATTCACCCGGTTGAAACGGGCGTCGACACGGGTGCTGGAAGAACGGTTTGAAGTGAAATTCGGTGTAGCGTTTACTCGAGTAAACGTCTGATTGAAATGCAAAGACACGGGAGGCAGGACGCGTTGAAGACACTTGCACCCGGCTTCTTTGGCTCGCATCTCGTCGGCGTTACCCGTGTGCCGTCTGTATTCTCGAACGCGATCGGCGTTCGTGACTCACACCTCGTCGGTGTCGCTGGTCTTCCGCTGCCGACGCTTGCGTTCGGCTTCCCTGGCTTGCACCTTGGAAGTGTCAACGTCACCATTCGCGAACGCAATTGGCTTCGCTAACCCGGTGACAGCCGGGAAAGCCATGCACACACTAGCGTCAAGGATGCCGCCGCGTCGGCGTCCCGCCCGTCGGCGCGATAGCGCAGCAAGCAGCGGCATACTGTCCACATTGTCGGCGCCGTGAGATTGCCGTGATTTTGAGACGGTCATTTTGAGAGAACCCAGCCCCCTCTTGCCAGTGAACGGTGCCCATAAGTGTGCTTTCATGATATTACAAAACAGTTCTGTACACTCCAGCGAGGCGTTGGAAGATTCAACAAATAAAAAGTGACGAACACCATTCTGTAGATTGAAGTCACGAAAAAAAAATACACGCGGATTTTTTAGAGCCCCTTAGTTGCTGAAGTTTTCGTCATATCTTGAGATTGTATCTCGATTCGACCCTATTGGGACCACGCCTATTTTGCGTGGTCCCTTCCCCATTTGAGATTAACAGGAAGCTACAGCGCAGCAGTGGGGCAGCACACTGCTCAGCCCTGACCCTAACAGACTGGTCCGGGTCACGGCACTCACACAGGCAGCCGCCGAGGAGCATGGGCTCCTGACTGACTAACCGACATCCCCTACTTCAGCCGAGGAAATTCATTTGTTTTATTGAAGGTACTGTCTGTTCTCTCCTCCTTTCATCAATGGACAGTGCAAGGTTGGATTGATAGGCTACTTGAAGTGCGTAGAGCCGAAATATTGCACGTGCCCACACAGTGGCTCTTTCCTAAAGAGACTTTTTTCAAGAATAGAGATTGTGTGACGGATAATCTTGTGGTATCTCTTGGTATTAGCAGTAAGGAATGCTTTCTAAGGAATTACATTAAGAAATCTTTAATCATATCTTCCAAAGATGTCTTACTGTTGAAGGAGAGGGAGAAAGGCTGTGCTTCTTCTGCCGCCACATGCCTGTGTCTCGTTCCTGCGATTTCCTAGACTAGCAATGCACACGCACGGGTTGAATTCCCCGAATAATATGTATTAGGATAGAGCACGCAGGTCCCATGACAGCTCGCATTTGACGACTGAGAATTTCTCTTAAAATGCACCTCACGCCAACTAGTGTATTCATTACTACAACGTTCAGCATCAACGGCCACTCATTATGCACTGTATTCGAGTTGTTGCATAGATTGAACGTTGAGGGCACACATTAGGAATCCCGTACCACGTGGCCTCATACATTCAGACAGGTGCATCGGAGAATGGGTCTTTTATTCTACTTATTAAGCGATATTTGTTTGTCTAACTATAAGAGTGCACGAGCTTATACATTCTTCTGCGGGGATAGCGGGTCATTTGCTTTGAACAAAAGAGATATCTTACCTGAATGAGCTGTGGTCCCTAGAAGACAAAACAGAAGGGCCGTGACTATTACTGTTGCTTGTCTGCAAGACTCCATTGCCCACTCCCTTTCGACTTCGGATCAAACAAACTGTTAAATATTCAGCAAATTACATTGCGAATTCGTTCTGCCCATCTTTCTTACATGTAAAAACAGACATTTCAGCTACTATTATGAGCACTAAGGCTGTTAATGAAAAATTTTCGCACTCGCGGTCATGGTTTTTTCCAAATGGCAACATTTACCTCAGCAGAACTTCATTTGTCTTGTTCATTTCTGAATCATTCATGCATCTGTTGACCCGGCATAGCTTTCGATGGACGAAATGTCACCCTTTCTTCTGTCATGCATTCCAGTTGCTGAAAGCATGCTCCTGATTCCAGCTGGTGACACTTGAAGAAGGTACATGAACTGCTTACGAGAACACCCCTCGAATTCTTCCCGTTGCTGAAAGTGTCGACCAAAGGCTTGAATAATAAGTGTAAGTTATTTATCTAGATATTGGTCCACACTTTCAAAATGTCTATATTATAAATCTAATATTTTTGCAGGTGTTTGACATTATATATTCGGGTTCGAATCCCGGCTGCGGCGGCTGCATTTCCGATGGAGGCGGAAATGTTGTAGGCCCGTGTGCTCAGATTTGGGTGCACGTTAAAGAACCCCAGGTGGTCGAAATTTCCGGAGCCCTCCACTACGGCGTCTCTCATAATCATATGGTGGTTTTGGGACGTTAAACCCCACATATCAATCAATCATTATATATTCAACGTTGACATGCCACCGTTGCTGGTGATTACGACGCTTCACAGCTGACTCGCAGGTTGCGAGATCCCGATAACGGCTGCCGCCTTTCGAGTGAGGAGAAATCCTTGAGGCTCGTGTGCCTACGTTGAGGCACCCATTAAATTAGCCCAGGTGGTCGAAGTTGGTTGCATGAGAACGCTCTACGTGGCAGCACTGTTTATCTCGCTTTGCTCCCCTAATCCTTGTTTTCGTTTACGCTGTTTATTTGCACGAGTTTGTCAAAATTACTACTCCTCTCCCGAGGCGTCTATATTATAAATATCGAGGCTTTAAGCCATAGAAACCCCTCACAATTGTTATTATTAGTCAGACTTGGAAGTGGTCAGCTGAGAGTGTCGTTCCTTGTTGCATTTTCAAGAGGTTCGAAAAGTATGCGTATCTTGCCAGTATTGCCATGAGCAAAGTATTTTAGGAAAGAAGAAAACAGTCGTCGAAAAAAACCAGTTTTGTGGTATTGGTCATGCCCTTTTGTCAGTGTTGACCACAAAAGCGTTCAACTCATATTTCGACCGAAGTTGTGCTAAACAGGGCGCGTCGAGTATTCTTTCATAATTCCTTTTGTAACCGATTTCTTTTCAATTACATCTACTGTATCATCTTACATTTGTGTTCACTGTATCATTATACACCATGGTGTTCTTTTGTTCATGCATGCCACGTGTGTCATGTAAATTGTAGTAATGATGTGTGGACTACAACATAGTGATGTTTGCTGTGGCACATAGACGTTATGCATTTTTTTTCCATTTTCTGCAGAGTGTAAACGAACTCTATCGAAACAAAAAAAAGGTCGCGTCATTTTATGCTGATGCCACGCAATATTGCATGTGTTAAGAAAGCTTTTCTCACTACATGACAATCACGTTGACTTCTTTCCGAAGAAGTTTACACCAATAGCGTGGCTCCGTGGTAGAACACCTGCTTTCCACGCGAATGGCCCGAGTTTGATTCGTACTCACACCAAAGTATTTCAATCTTTAGTGACTTATTTGCATCTTTGTCAATTTTTCAGACATAGCTAAAACAATCTTTCACTGACAACCATTGACATCGACGCCGACACCTGAATTTCTGTGAAATGAGTTCATTAGTACTAGCACGTCTGAATGTATAGCCAAGCCTTGTATCGCGTGCCACCATTACAAACATACCCTTAGGTAATGATGCTACAGAGAAAGGGAGACAAGCATACATCGTCTGACAACCCCCTCCCGTAATGCCATTTAGCCCTTCTCGAGTACTAGCGTTTCACTAGCAAGTATAGCCAAAGATGGGTGACTCATGGAAATGGACTCTCATCAGTTTATATGAAAGAATTCTACAGGTGCTGATGTTGTACCCCCTCTTGTTCCTTGTCGTATAGTCCTTTTCATTTCCTTATTTATAAATCACTTTCGGCATGCACTGGCGTGAGAGGAACAGTATCTGTAGTGATTTTATAGAGAGGAGGAAAAGGTATACTGCACAGAGTCAGCGAAATAACTATGGTCAGTTCTTTTTCCGAGGACACAGCCAGTAGCCCACCAACATCAGCAGCATTTCCTGGCTTCCCGATGTGATTAGAGTTCATGATATGGTTTCAAGCTCGGCATCTCGGGTTCTTACTTTGCGCACATCACCTGGGTATGTTCTAGTGAGCTCAATAGCATACCCTGGTTATATGATTGTAAATTGTGGTATGCTACCGAATTCAGATAAGTATTCGTCCGTAGAAAGCACCAGAACGTCGCTTGTTGTTTGTTAAGGAAGCAGTGTGCCAGGTGAAACGGGGTTCTTTTTAACTTGTAGGTGTTGATCATCTCTTTGAAGCTGACCCTCCCATTTCTCTCCGTCCCCGGTAACCACTCTTCTTCCGCTTAGTCGATTAGCCCTCAAGCTAAATTATGCCCAATCGCGAAAGTTGAAACTTCAGAGAAAACTAAACAACGGGTTAAAAGAAAAATAACTTTACTGCGAATTCAGATGAGGCGACCACTATTGTTTAAACATTCCCATTTGCGACATTCCACGGGCCTTGTGCTGGAGATACAAGGCCTTGAGGATTCAATGTATCAGACTTTCGGTGAAAGCTTGCTGAATGGGTCAAGTCGGCTGTATACTTCCATGACTAGGGCCGGTGTCATAACTGGCAAACAACGAACTGTGCACGGGCATCGCACTAGCCGAGTGAATTATGGCCGATTTTGGTGTGCTGTGAATTGATGGGCACCTACTAAGTGAATTCTTAAAATACGTTATTCCTTTCCTCAATTTCGGAGACCTGTGGTGTACTTAGTTTTCTTGCCTTCTTAGCCCTCTGCACGCTCGTCACCCCTGTCAGAACTATTATGTCCATTGATTCCAGCGGGGAAAAGAGAACTACCAGCTTGTGTTTACCCAAGTAGTTTACGAAATGTGATGGGTAGGCACAGCTCTTATAAGAATTGATGCAACACCCTTCAGAACCTACAGCATCAGCAATCTCTGGTCAAAGAAAGGGAAACCATCGGAGTCGGTGGGGCCCGCAATTATATTCAGGGCAACAAGAAGGCTGTGATTCTAACGCTTCAATCTACCTGCACCAATAGCTACCGTATGATATTTAGAACTTACAATCAACCGCAAGACATGAAGGAAGCGGAGGCATTGTGTTGTAAAAGGCTTTGTGATAAGTGGTGTCGCTTATAGCTTGCCATACATGCACATCCTTAAAAAGGTCTACTCAAAATTAAGGAGTAATCGATAGCACAGAGAGGTGCGCAATGACGACTGCCCGTCGCTCTGTTATTATTGAAGCAAGCTCCACAAAGTTTAGCAAGTTGCTTGAATTAAGATTCTACCAGATGTTCTGTAATTATGGCCAGAAAATACAAACACATGGATGCACTCTAAAAGTATTGAGAAATCAGTTATTTTACAATTTTTATCTTTGAAAGGAACATTTGTAAAAACTATCCAAGGGCATAATTCTGAACCAACGTAATAATCATAGGTACGATAATAATAATAATAATAATAATAATCATCATCATCATTGGCCTCACTACGTCCACTGCAGGACAAATGCCTCTCCCGTGTTGCGCCAGTTAACCCGGTCCTGTGCTTGCTGCTGCCAATTTATACCCGCAAACTTCTTAATCTCGTCTGCCCACCTAACCTGTCTCCCCCTAACCCGCTTCCCTTCTCTGGGAATCCAGTTAGTTACCCTTAATGACCAGCGCTTATCCTGTCTACGCGCTACATGCCTGGCCCATGTCCATTTCCTCTTCTTTATTTCAACTATAATATAGAACGGAGACAGTCAAAACTGTTATCCGAGACCAGGTAGGAGCGTAGGCCTAGCTATACAAAATCAGCGACAGTCCGGGCCGAGCGTCTCGTGCTTAGCACTGACAATGTGTGTGCCGAGATTTGCATGACCCACTACAATCATCATTACATATTTCCCCCTCGCTGAAGATAATGCCAAGTAAGTGTTCTAAGGTGTCGTGAGGACAAGTGGTTCGTGATATGGTTTGAGGCGATTCACATGTACGATTTCGCGTCCTCGGCGACGCATGTCCACAGTGGCCGTGAGGGGTTCGATGAGGTAGTTAACAGCGGAAGTTTGTTCTATGACGCGATAAGGTCCATGGTACCTGCTGACAAACTTTGTAGAGGTACCAGGAGCAGCACTGGGGGGCACCCACAGCCAAACAAGAGAGTTGGGCGAAAATTGGTAGTTGGACCGTCCATCGTCGTGACGAAATTTCTGTAGCCCTTGTTCTTGTGTTGTAAGGGTGCGAGCTAATTGCCGACATTCTTCCGCATACCGCGCGGCTTCGGAAAGTGGTGTGCCTTCGGATGAGTCGGGTCGGTAGGGGAGAATGGTGTCAATTGGAGACGATGGTTCTCGACCATAAAGTAAAAAGAATGGAGAAAAGCCTGTCGTCGCTTGAGGTGCCGTGTTGTAAGCGTACGTTACGTAAGGAAGGATAAGATCCCAGTTGGTGTGGTCGGAGGCGACATACATAGAAAGCATGTCGCCAAGAGTACGGTTGAAACGCTCGGTCAAGCCATTTGTTTGTGGGCGATATGCGGTAGTACAGCGGTGAATTACATGGCATTCTGCAAGAAGTTCTCGAATAACATCTGCGAGAAAGACGCGGCCTCGGTCGCTCAAAAGTTCACGTGGAGCGCCATGACGCAGAACAAAACGTTGCAGCAGGAAAGACGCAACGTCACGTGCCGTCGCGGCTGGTAGAGCGGCCGTTTCTGCATATCTCGTGAGATGGTCGATCGCTACAATAATCCAGCGATTTCCAGCTGATGTATATGGTAGAGGACCATAAAGGTCTATTCCAACCCGGTCGAATGGTCGCACTGGGCACGGTAACGGCTCCATTGGTGCAGTAGGACGGCTAGG